GATTCAGCGGTTCGAACCGTTTTTGCACTTTTGGATTGGTTCGTCAAAATGGTTTTTTGGTCTTTGAACCGGGGTTTCGGTTCGGTTCAACGGTTCGAAAAACAACAAAATAACGCGCAAGTTTATAAGTGTCAAGTGTCAAGTGCACCAACGCGCAAGGTTAAGAGGCAAGTGTCTGTCCAATGAGATGGGTTGCCTTTACATTTGATATTGTCAAATGGTAAACAAAAAGAAAAAAAGTGGGTGCATGTATCTATTGAAAATTGATTGAAACGAACCTTTAAACCTGTATAGAAATTGGGTTTGCTTTTCGGTTTAAACCTTTATATAAAGTGGTTCGGTTTTCGGTTCGGATCAAACATTTGTGGAAAATTTCGGTTCAGTTAATGGTTCAGTCAATGAATAGAAAAAAATCGGTCCCTGGTTTTTCCCATAATCCAACTACACAAGATCTGACAAGATGAAGCAAAAGAAAAAACTTCTTTTTGGTTGTTTGTGTTTCCGACAGGGTAGGAGTATGATGTATTGTGGAACGATTTTCCGACATCCCTTGTCAAATTTGGTTTGGAGACAAACCGGTTTCGGCGTTGTGCCATCTTCAGTGTCATTTTTCGTTTGTCTTCAAACCAAATTTGACAAGGGATGACGGAAAATCGTTCCACAATACATCAAAAGAAAAAAGTAATTTTCTGGCTGACGCTTGTAATTTCGGCGCCATGTTATTTTCTGTGAAAAATAAACAAAGAATATGAAGGCGAAGCATAAAGGAAAAATGCAAGCAATATTGTAGCACATGTCTGTGCTAACCGATTTATTAGTTTTGTCGTGTTTTTGCATCAAATCACCGCGCACTTCATTATACCCGAGCGCACTTGTGCACAAGGGTATATTAATTTTGTTCACATAACGGTTGTTTGTAACAGCCAAAACGAATCGAGATCGAGCAAAAATTGAGATATCTCAACGAAATTTGGTATGTAGGTTTCCGTTAATCCAAGGTAGGTTGGTATTGAAAATGGGCGAAATCGGACTGTAACCACGCCCACTTCCCATATAACGGTAATTTCCAGAAATACGAAAACTGCGATATTTTAGTAACTACTGAAGATAATTCATTCAAAATTTATATTTACAATAATTATCAGACGAAAAATAAGAATATTATCCACGCCCACTTATGGTTACATGTGTATATCTTGCATACTAAATGGCCGAAAATTTAAAAAATCGGACAATAACCACGCCCACATCCTATATAATGGTAATGTTCGGAAATACGAAAACTGCGATATTTTAGTAACTAAAAACGAAAAATAAGAATATTATAAATTTTTGGAAAATGGGCGTAGCCACGCCCACTTGTGGTTACATGTGTATATCTTGCATACTAAATGGCCGAAAATTTAAAAAATCGGACAATAACCACGCCCACATCCTATATAATGGTAATGTTCGGAAATACGAAAACTGCGATATTTTAGTAACTAAAAACGAAAAATAAGAATATTATAAATTTTTGGAAAATGGGCGTGGCACCGCCCACTTATGATCACATATATGTATATCGGTAACCGTTCTACCAATTTGTACCAAACTCTGTATATTTATTGTGCTTGCCACATAAAAGCAAAATGTTGAAATTTATTGAAATCGGACTAAAATTACGGCCGCTTTTCATATAATTTAAGGACGCTAATTTACTCAAAATTGATACACCCCGGCTTACCATCTAGCGGTAGCTTTCGGAAAGGTGAAAAAACATATGTTTAATACTTGTGCCGGGTATTTAATGTTCGGCTCCACCCGAACTTAGACTTTCTTACTTGTTTTAATTACATTTGCACAAAAAATTTATTGAAAATCACTGGAATAAACCACCGACAAAATACACATAAAGAAAGAAGCAAAACAGAAATAGCAAACTTCAAAATTACGAACGTCACACACTTTTTTTTCAATTGCTATTACAAATGGCTGCTTCTCAACCGGTCAGATCTGTTGTAATTGGTTCATGGTTTTTTCCATAATTTTAGCCTATGTGCGATTTTATTCCAAACCTAAATGTTTCGGTAGCAAGTATCGAGACCATTGGATATTTTTTAATCGGTACCGAATATCGATCAATACTTAAAAGTTTTAACTCAGCACATTTCTACTGCTGTCAGCTCGACTGTGACATCGGCAAAACAGCTGATTCTGTCAATTCTCAATTAGCAGTGTCGCCATCGCGCCACCTTCTGTATTCTCTCCACCGTGCGCCGAACTGTGTTAAGTTCTGAACACATTGAAAACGACGAGCTACAGACCACAGCTTCCAATTTGTTATCTTCATTATCTAAACGCTTTGTCGATGGCGACATGATTTCTTTGAACGCGGCAGCGACATCATGAATTTGTATGAGTTTGACATAAAAGAAGAGGAAGAACCTTATCTGTCGCCAGAAAAATAGAAATAGATCTAATCTGGCCACAACCACAGCCGTCGCGTAGCCCGGTCGTCGCCAAAATAATTGGCCCGTAGTCATAGTCAAAATAAAGTCGACTTCAGCTTTTCAGTCGGTTGCAGCTTTTTGACATAATTTTCAATGGGATATCTGTCAAAAAAGCTGCAACTAACTTTAAAGTCGACTTTATTTTGACTATGACTACGGGCCATTATCTACATAAGAGTACGTGTTAAAATAATTTGACAGCTGTGGTTTGTAGCTCGTCGTTTAGTTTAGTTTAGTTTTCGTTGTGAGTGTGTTAGAGTTTCTGTCAATCGCGTCTTGTAGGGATATATATCAAGGGGAATTTATTGCCTGGATTATAATGGAAGTAACGGAACGGAGTGAACTGTCACTTAATTATCTATTGTATGGGCAATGAATTCAAACAATTATAATGCACTTGAACGCAATGTAAAACGGAAGTATCTAAAATCAATAGATCCTTACGAATTCGCCGCGATTTGTTACGATTCGCCCCGTGCATTTTAAAAATGACGTACAAGAAATGGCTAAGAAATTTTCTTGAGTCCGATTTCCTTAAGGCAGTACGCAGTTCTTAAGAATTTTACTACGCTTTCTACTACGGTTTTCTAAAGTTTTTTGTGAAAAAAGAGCATAAGGCAACCCAGGTTTGCAACAGAAATATATGCCCGTTCCATTACTTCTTGAGGAAAGAGTGAGGCAACAGGCTATGAGGTATCAAAAATGTCAAAATGCTTTGGACACACGCGAAATAATGGCAATTTTTTCTTGACCGTTTTCTTAAGAGCTGCATGCAGGGCTATAAATTCGCCTGGATATATATGTTATCCTCGAAAAGAACTTTTTCTAGTCATGAGGCGAAATTCCCCACAGTAAGTGTTGCCGTGCGCGCAAATGAAAACGCTGCACGCAACTCAAAAGTACTCCTCGGGGACAAATTGGTGAATAACTGCGAAAAAGTTTACTATTAGGTGCAATCCCGTATTCCTCGGACTCGGACTAGTAATACTGCCAAAAATAAAAATTCGCTCAGAGCGAGAGAGTAACATTGAAAAGTACGGGATCGCTTACTAGTAAAAAATGGTAACTTCTGTCAACTTCAACATAACCTCCAAATTTTGATTGTAAATTTTTTCTTATTTTGTTTGTAAACACACTCAGCTCACATATGCAAATAACCAAAAATACTTTCAAACTCATTAGAATCCACTTAAACAAGTAATTAAATACTTTTCAACATGAATTAGCAGAGTGCACTTTTCTTTTGTTTATAATTTGGTTGCCAAACANGAGAAAACCGTATTTACTCTCTTTTTTGTCCTCTCAATAGTCAGAGAACCGAGTACGGGATCGATTTCCAGTAAAATCTGACTGATTCTGACTATTGATGACTAGTCCGGACTCGTACGGGATCGCAACTATTCATATCCAATATATACATGTGCTTCTGCTTCATAGCCTGTTGCCTCACTCTTTCCTCAAGAAATAATGGAACGGGCATATATTTCTGTTGCAAACCTGGGTTGCCTTGTGCTCTTTTTTCACAAAAAACTTTAGAAAACCGTAGTAGAAAGAGTAGTAAATATCTTAAGAACTGCGTACTGCCTTAAGGCTGGTATGCAGCTCCCAAGAAATCCGTCTAGAAAAATTTGCCATTATTTCGTGTGTGTGTACAAGGAATTTTGACATTTTCTATACTTCACAGCCTGTTGCCTCACTCTTTCCTCAAGAAATAATGGAACGGGCATATATTTCTGTTGCAAACCTGGGTGGCCTTGTGCTCTCTTTTCACAAAAAACTTTAGAAAACCGTAGTAAAAGCGTAGCAAATTTCTTAAAAACTGCGTACTGCCTGAAGGAAATTTGACTTAAGAAAATTTCTTAGCCATTTCTTGTACGTCATTTTGTATAGAATTTTAGCTTTTCTTGAGAACTGCATACAGGCCTTTAAGGAAATTTGACTCAAGAAAATTTCTTTGCCATTTCTTGTACGTCATTTTATATGGAGTTCTTGCTTTTCTTGAGAGCTGCATACAGGCCTTTAGCCATTTCTTGTACGTCATTTTATATGGAGTTTTTGCTTTTCTTGAGAGCTGCATACAGGCCTTTAAGTATACACAATTACCAGATGGCAGCGCTCAAAATTGCAACCGTGAGCCGTTCACAATAATTGACGTATCTTTTCTTTCAATATTTTGAGAATGGCTTGTTGCCATGATAAAAACATAGCAAGGTATAACCGTTCTCTCAATTTGTCGGCCATGATTTTTTTTTTGAAGTTTGCCAACATTTTAAAATCATATAAAAGTGAAAATAAAAAATTGAAATTGTTCGAAATTGTTGTTGCTTGAGATTGAAAATGAAAATGTGTGTGTGAGTTTGTGAGTAAATTTAAAAATTAAATTGTTTGGAAACGTCAAGAATCTTAAAAGTGACTCTCAGCGGTTCTACCTTACTATATTTTTATCATGCTTGTTGNGAGAGACAACTGTCAGTTTATCGAACCTTGTATTATTGAATCATGGGCTTGTTGTTAGTTCATTCTTTCATTTTACTTTGTTCGCGTTTGCTAATTTTTCTCAAGGAGGTTCGTCAATTAAATTTTTATATATTAGCATCGGGGAAAAAATAATATGTCGCGAAGTTATACATCACCCTATGCCAAACCGATACAGCAATATCCATCTCAGTCAGAGGATTACATATCACTTGAAGTCGGCGGACCAGGAAAGTGTTCAACACCAGCGCGGGCCCAGTACAACAGCCTTAACACAAAGGGTGGGGGAAACTTTTATCAAAATAGACAAAACGGACGCGAAAATCAACAAAATCGATTTTCTGTAGGATGGACAAACAACCGCCACAGTGCTGGTGGATATGCAGGCCAACGGCAACAACACACACCACGTAGCATTGATACAGCTGAATGGCAGTGGCGTGGAGGTGGCAATAACAGACCACGAAACAATGTATCAAAGAAGTACAATAAAATAAAATGAATACTAACAAGTGTTTTCATTTCAGAGACCATCTTTTACCAATAAGGTAAACGACATATCGGCTTTTGTGCACCCATCTATGTTAGAAGATCCATGGAATGATTTGATGAAACGACGAGAAGCTATAAAACGTAGTGAGATTCAATTATCTACTCCCGCTAAACAAAATGAAGAAAGATCTTGCATGGATAATATCGCTGTAAAAAGCGTAG